GAAAAAGGAAGGAAAGAGGGAGGGAGGGAGGGAAGGAAGGAGCAGGCAGGAAGGAAGGGAGGAAGAAAAGAAGGAAGAAAAGGAAGAAAAGGAGGAAGAAAAGGAAGAAAAGGAAAGGAAAGAAGGAAGGAAAGAAAAGGAAAGAGGAAGAAAAGGAAGAAAAGAAGGAAGGAAAAAGGAAGGAAAGAGGGAAGGAGGGAAGGAAGGAAGGAGCAGGCAGGCAGGGAGGGAAGGGAGGAAGAAAAGAAAGGAGAAAAGGAAAAAAGAAGGAAAAAAGCGAACCCCGAAAAATTCTCGGGCGGCGTTTCCACACTGGGGCGGGGTCCCGCGCATGCGCGACCCGCCCCCTCGCCCCCCCCCCCCCTCACCTTTTTGCTCGGGCTCCGTGTCGGCGTCGCTGCCGAAGAGCTCCTCCATGTCGGCCATGCTGAGCGGAGCCCAATTCTCAGGCCGGAGCCACGGACCCGGCGCTGGGTGACCCCGGAAGCGGCGCCGCTCGGTGACGTCACCCGGCCGCGACCAGGCCCCCTGAGCGGAAGAGGCGGGCTTCCTCGCAGCGATTTACTTCCCACTCTTGCAATTCCTGCAAATACATCCCATTTAGGTTCTTTAGTCTTCCTCTGAGGAGATACACACGGTCGTGTATCCCATGCCGGGGTGGGAGGAAGGAGGGAAAGGTGGTCCGTTGCTTTTCCAGCTTGTCACAATTTCAGTGTTGCGCCTCTTCACTTTCATATATCTATGGCAAAGCGTTCTGCATTGAGAAAAAGGAGGCCAGCTAGGAAGTTGTTTTCCATAGAGATAAAAAGATAGAGTCGGACTAGAAAAAGATGAGAATGCGGAACAACTTTTCTTTTTCTCTACGTTGGCTTGAAAGTGATTGAGGTCGTTGAAAGAAATGGGAGTTTTGTTTATGGAGATTCTCAGTCACATCCAGGTTCATGGTTGTCCCAAGGTGCTTTTTTTCCCCCCTTAAAAATGCAATTGGACTTTCTGGGTTTTTTTTCTTCCAGGAGCTTCTTGGATGAGATGCGAAACGTCTTCGAAGAAAAACCAGAAAGTCCAGTTGCCTCTTGGGGGGGAAAAAGCATCTTTGAAAAAAAAAAAAAAAAAAGCTTTGGCAGACCTGTAATTGGGTAACAGGCACAAATTCAATACACTAAACTTCGTGAAATCTCTTTGCACTTTCATTTGCATAGCAAATCCAACCCCCTCCCAATTTCTCCAGTCCTTTTGACGGTCTTCAATGAAATCCTTTTTCTGTGCCAAAAGCAAATGACTTCCATTTCAATAAGGCCAAGTCCCTGCAGTTGTACAGGTGGCCCTCGACTTACAACAGGTCGTTTAGTGACCATTTGAAGTAACAACAGCACTGAAAAAAAAGAGAGTTATGACCATGGGTGAAATCCAGCAGGTTCTAACAGGTTCAACAACGGCAGTGATTCACGTCACAAATGCGGCACGAAAAGTTGTAAAATGGGGCAAAACTCACTTAACAAATGTCTCACTTAGCAACATAAATTTTGGTTTCAGTTGCCGAAGACTACCTGTATAGTAGCCACTTCCTCCACCACCAGCTCAACCCAGTTGCCTCCATGTTATATTACAGCATCCAACATTCCCAGTCAGTACTCTCGGGCTACCCTGATTGAAGACAGTTTTGTCAGGCAAAAATTCCTTGTAATCCATCATGTATGTTTGTTTGTTTCCTTGTTTGTTTGGGAAAGACGAAAGATTTCCCGAACCCTAAGTGGGTTTGGCCCCCAATGGGATTTTTCCATGTATTTTACCAGGAAACGTAGATAAGGCGGGGTCAAAAAGTCAGCACCCCCCTAAGCAGTCCGATGGGCTAGGAATCTGTTGGCGAAGTCCATTTTGCTCTCAGAATTCATGGAGAGCTAACCCTAACCCTAAGTGGGTTTGGCCCCCAATGGGATTCTCCCATATATTTTACCAGGAAACATAGATAAGGCAGGTCCAAAAGTCAGCACCCTCCTAAATGTTCATATGCGCTAGGAATCCGTTGGTGATATCCATTTTGCTGTCTGAAATATTCAGGAGAACGATTCAAATCATATCGGGCATGCGGAAGTTAAACTCAAATAGACTGTTTCTTGGATCCAGGTTTGACATATTAACTCTAGTATGAGCTACAAACCAAGCCACACAAGACAGCAAGAAAAGTCAGTGTTCTCTGATTTCAGAAACTGCCCAAGCACACACAATGCTAGAACATTACAATTGTTTTTCTAAAAAAAAAAAAAAAAAATTGCATCCAGTGATGGACACACCCAACTATTTGTGTGTGTGTGTGTGTGTGTGTGTGTGTATAAAGTTGACTCAGCCTTCCATCCTTTCGAGGTAGGTAAAATGAGGACCCGGATTGTGGGAGCAATATGCTGACTTTGTATAAAAAAGAACACCGCTGGGGGGGGGGGGGCTGAAAGCCTTACTAAGCAGGAATATACAAAAGTATGAAGGCTATTGCTTAACACATCGTAAGCCGCCCTGAGTCTCCGGAGAAGGGCGGTATATAAATTGAACCAATAAACCAATAAATAAATATAAGGAAAACATATGTAACTGTTCTTAAAAATATTTTTGGAAACGGAGATCGGACATTAAATAAAGCTGGTTCTTCCTCTGTGCATCCTATTCTACATACAAAATGGGTACAACTGCCCCTATGTTGTGTTACTGATTATATTTCGCCTTCCCCTTAATTTTCCGAAGCCCAGCCTCATGGGCTATAGAGTGACCACAGAGAATGTTAAGTGTCAAGATGCAAATCAGAAGCAGGGATTTATCGGAGTGGTGCTAGCGCAGGACAATATTTCACAGTGATAACGAAGCTCGGTTCGTAGCATTTAAAAGCATCTCTTTAATTCCAACTGTTGCAAGGATTAATTTTTTTTAAAAAAATCATTTTAACACATTTTTATTATTTAAAAACATTTTTATAATTTGAAGTGAATCAGGTGTCCCCAAAGAACAAGTTGGAATCGGGGACCACCCCAGTTCAAGGTATGCGCAGGATTCTCTGTTTTTGACAAGGGAGAACAGAAACAAGAACCACAGAAAGGGGGAGGGGGGGGGAAATTATTAGGTCCTATCCAAAGTAGGATTCCTAATTTATAGCTTTCCTACCAAACCAGAAACTTGTTTTGGACAGAATAGTAAGTGTTTCCTAATTAGGAAGTAAGAGTAACGGGGCAGCATTTCCTATAATGGTTGGTCTCTAGTAAATCTTCAATCGTCAAAATTCTGGACTCACCTTTTGCTGCACCTGAGTCCAGTGTGTGCCCCGTCGCTATTTTAAAATGAAGGATTCCCCTTGCACACTCAGTTGAGGTGCATCTCGTTTGTGAAAAGACGGTGCCTATTATGGGATGGCTCCAAGAGAGCCTTAGTGTGAAACAGGCAAGATCCCTTCCAACAACCATCAATATGTGCTCCATCTCAGGCACACCTTGAAGTAGGAACAGCTGGCTGAGGAGTGATCACGGACAATGTCCTAGGATGCCACAACAATGAGCTATGCAAATTAGGTGTGACAGGACAGGCTGGGAAATTCAAAAAGGGTTAATTTTGTCTACTTAGCAGCCTAGCTGTGGACAGGCATCAGGGTGAGCTGCAACAGCGTCCCAGAGTGTGGCTGGCCAGAACATGTGAAATTTGTAGGATTGTGTTTTTTCAACCTTGGTCACTATGAGACATGTGAACTTCACCTCCCAGAATTCTCCAGCCAGCATAGCATAGAGGTCTTCAAACTTGGCAGCTTTACAACTTGGCAGCTTTAAGACTTGTGGACTTCAACTCCCAGAATTCTGGGAGTTGAAGTCCACAAGTCTTAAAGCTGCCAAGTTGTAAAGCTGCCAAGTTTGAAGACCTCTATGCTATGCTGGCTGGAGAATTCTGGGAGGTGAAGTTCACATGTCTCATAGTGACCAAGGTTGAAAAAACACTGTTCTAGGAGTCACAAGATATTTTTCAACCCACATAAACAGGACTTAGTAAGCATTAATGGGCCAGCATGTTGTGTTACAGCTTAGCAGCCAGAGTTTGAAATGCTGCCATTTATATATATACAAATATATTTTTTATCTCTCTTTCTCTCTCACACACATATTTAAATACCGAGTAGCAGAACCCAACACTATGCTGATGAAATAGGGGGGAAAAAATCTATATAAATACAACCGCTCTGGACATGACTGAGCAACGTGCGGACATCTGCTGTTCTGCAAATTCATAGAGAAATAAGCTGCCTAGGTTTAAGGCACCCAGCACCAATTTTTTGCCAGCTGAGCTCACCACGAAGAGGGAAAGCAAGCGGCAGCCGAAGCAACCCTGAAATCTTCTTACAGCAAAAAAAAACAACACCACTATCTTCATTTCGGGTGGGCCAGCATGGGGCGACAAGAGAAACATTAGCCAGAGCACTTGACATGCATCACTGCAACATACCCTGTTTTCCCGAAAATAAGACATCCCCTAATAAGCCCAATCGGGCTTTTGAGCGCATGGGTTAAAATAAGCCTCCTCCCCGAAAATAAGCCCTCCCCAAAAATATTTAAACGCAGAGCTGGAAATCAGGTATGATGGCAAGAGGAGCCCCATCTTGCTCCACGCACCCCAAAATAATAAGACCGCCCCGAAAATAAGGCCAAACGCTTATTTTGGGGTTCAAAAAAATATAAGACAGGGACTTATTTTCAGGGAAACACGGTAGATGATGAGCGAAGTAATTGTTTCCCTTTGTTTTCGGGGGAAAAAATTCCCTCCATGAGACACACGAAACATTGATTCGATGCCTCAGTGCTTATATTACAGTTCCCTATTTCCTATCGGATCATTTTCTCTCGGAGGGAAATGAAACAGTTTGCCTCCTTAACAGTAGCTGTTGACTCTGCCGCTTCTGTGCCACCAAGGTTATAGAGTTGGCATTTATCTGCCCAGATGGGGCTAGCAGGTTTTCAAATCGTATATTGGATACCAGCGCTGGTAATATAACTTTATCAAATATATATATAGAGGAAGATACATATATATATTTATATATTTACACGCTCAACCGTATGAACAAAAAAGAGGAACGCTAATTCCAGTCTTTTCCCTTCTATGCAAGTAAGAAGAAATCTTGGGGTGGCTGAACCCCAGGTGAAGAAGTGGGTGCCCTTTACGGAGGTCCAGAATCTCTCCTCTTCTGACTGACGGCCGGAGGGTTTATGGATGGTCGCCTTCCACTCTCCGCTTGCGAACTGTCCAGACAGAAGGGACAAAAAAGAGAAAAGATAATTAACTTTGGCGCGAATTCATCATGGGCTGTTCATCAGAAGGGAAGGATTACAGATTTTCCTCGATTTACAGCCATTCATTTAGTGACGGATCAAAGTTAGAGTGAAAAAAAGCGATTTGCAACCAGAATTTATGGCCATTGCAGCATCCCCATGGTTGCATAATCAAAATTTGGGAGTTTGGCAACTAGCATGTGTAGGTTTACAGTGTTCCAGGGGGCGGATGTCATACAATCGCCGTTTCTGTCCTTCCCAGCTGGTTTCCGACAAAGACAAAGGGGGAAGATGGATTTTTTTAACAGTCGCTGCGAGTTGCTTTAACCCCTGAGGTAAAAAAGGTCTGTGACTCATTTAACTTGCTTAAGCAGTGGAAATTCTGCTTCCAAATGGGGGTCATATGTCGAGGACTGCCTGTAATCCAATGGGATACTGGGGGCTATGCCCCAAAGGGACAAGGAAATGGATGGGGCTGGGATGAAAAATAAAACCAAGTTAAGATTTAGTTCAGCTTTAAACAAAAAATACCGTTAAGGTTTAAACAAAAACACCGTTAAGATTTAAAATCAACGAGAGACACCGAAAAGCCCCAAATGAATTCCCTCTTCGCTATCGTTAAATGTACCAATTCAGTAGTAAGCTTTGCAGCAATTTGGGAGACCTGTCCTGTACCTTTCAGCCCCAGGAAAGCCTCTGTACGCTCTGCCACCCATGCTCCACAGCAGGAGTGGTATTCACTTACTTTCTCTACCGGTGCGCATGCGCCCAGCTTTAAAAAGGTGCCGAAATAGGATGACATAGAGCTGGGGGGCTGGGCTGGCCCACCTGCAATTTCCGCTACCGGTTCGGGCAAACCGGTGCGAACCGGCTAAATACCACCTCTGCTCCACAGCCCTGTCATGCCAAACCACGACACTAGCAGCAGCTGAAACCGCTCCTGAGCAGGAGTGTTTGTGCAGGAGCAAACGACAGAAAAAGCAGAAGGGAAAAAATTCATGCAAGGCTTGTGCGAGGGAAGCATGCCGAGACACAATTAGGCGACCTTTTTCAAGAGACCTTTTCTCCCTTAGCGCTTAATAACCAAGTGGGCATTTGCAAGAACCTCTTCAGAAGCTTCAGGGCTGAAGAGATGCAAGGAGGTCGGCAGATTTTTTAACTCCCAGACGCCAGGCTAAAGATGGAAGAAGAAAGGAGAAAAGAGCAAAGTACAAGAGAGAGATTTCACAGTCCTGGATTCTGGAGACGCAGAGAGGAGAGAAGGAGAGCAGAAGCGGCTCTCTCAAGACGCTGAAAATTAAACCCCAAACAAAAACCAGATTATTATTTTGCTTTCCAGTGTCAGAATGGTTGTGTTATAGGGTGGAAGCCATTCAGTCTCCTCGTTCAGACGTCCGTCTTTCAGTTCATTCGAAGGAGATGTGCGTAAATGTCTATGGAGATCATCCAGGTCATGGTTGTCCCAAAGGTGCTTTTTCAAGAGGCCACTGGACTTTGTTTCTCTTTGAAGATGTTTTGCTTCTCATCCAGAGCTGAAGAAGCTTCTTGGATGAGAAGCGAAACGTCTTTGAAGAAAAACCAGAAAGTCCGGTGGCCTCTTGAAAAAAGCACCTTTGGGAAACGTGCATAAAAAAAAAATCCACAGGCCTGCAAATAATCATGCTCTTGCCGTAGCTGTGATGCTCTTACCGAGTGTGATATTTGACACCTGAACTGAAACATTAAAGGCATTAGTTTTGAAACGAACCTATAGCTCTGAGTTTTCCAAAATGCACTGAAATAGATACCATGCTTAGCTGAATTATTGCTTTAAAGAGTGAAAGGACTCTGCATTTGCACAATAAAGGTAAAAGTAAAGGTTCCCCTCGCACATATGTGCTAGTCGTTCCCGACTCTAGGGGGCGGTGCTCATCTCCGTTTCAAAGCCGAAGAGCCAGCGCTGTCCGAAGACATCTCTGTGGTCACGTGGCCGGCATGACAAAACGCCAAAGGCGCATGGAACACTGTTCCCTTCTCACCAAAGGTGGTCCCTATTTTTCTACTTGCATTTTTGTTTTACTTGCTTTCAAACTGCTAGGTTGGCAGAAGCTGGGACAAATAACGGGAGCTCACCCGTTACTTGGCGCTAGGGATTCAAACCGCTGAACTGCTGACTTTTGATCGACAAGCTCAGCTTCTTAGCCACTGAGCCCACCGCGTCCCATTGCATTTGCACAATACTAAGTCATATTGCCTATGAAAATTCTCAATCATCCAGGTCGTGGTTGTCCCAGAAGCGCTTTTCCAAAAGCCATCTGGACTTCCTCATTTTTTTCCTTGAAAACGTTTCGCTTCTCATCCAAGAAGCTTCTTCAGTTCCAAAACGTTTACAAGGGAAAAAAAACCCCAAGAAAGTCCAGATGGCTTTTGAAAAAGCACCTTTGGGACAAATTCATATTGAAGTTATTAATATCTAAACCAAGCCTCCTCATTTATATATATATATGTATGTATGTATGTATGTATGGATGGATGGATGGATGGATGGATGGATGGATGGATGGATGGATGGAATATTATTCCTGGCTCACTTGTACTAGAATGAGGAATCATAAGAAGTTCAGTATCACCCTTTCAGAGCACAGCTTGTCTTACCTAAATCGTTGTTCTTCGTGATCGCGGCGGCTGCTCTGGTACGGGGTCCTTGCTGCATGAAGTGATACCCAAACTTAAGGATCTTGGCGTTTTCCTCAAGCATCTTGGCAATATCCATTTCTACGGGTGTCCCGAGCTGCTGCCTCTGTCAGAAATCACCCAAGGTAGAAGTCAACAAATGCTGGCCAATTGTTTGAAGCTGATGGAGCACATCAGCAAAAGCAATGTCAGGATTGGGAGATCCATCCTCCTTGGCAAACTGCATGACTTATGTGGCAAGGAATTCTCATTCCCAAGGGCAAAACAAGCATCTTTTAAGGTTAGAAACCTTATGATATATTAAGACTCTGTTTCCAGTCGGCATCTCTTGTTTGTTTCTGAACTCTGTGGGGCTTTGCCAAGTAAGGCCTTTGGCAGGGTGTCAAAGAAGATAAAAGGTTGGTGATTATCCCGAAGAACTTCTTCTGAAGGACTTTTTTTTTGCAATTAATTGGGACTCAGCTGGGAATGAACATAATTCTCAGCTGTTACAATAAAATAGGTTACAATAAGCCTAGGTCACAACAACTCCAGGATTTCTCTGGGTTCTTCTTTGTTTGAAATTTGGCACAATTTCTGTGTCCGCCAAACCGTAGCCGACCCAAAAATGCTCGGCCCAAACTTCCAGAACGTTTTGGATTTGAAACAAAGTCCACTTCCTATCTCCATCCCATCCCAACAACAGTGAAGGAAAGAGACTTCTACTCTTTTAACAGGATGGTGAACAACACCTTTCTTGGATTCCATAAGCAATTTTCCTGCAAGAGGGCAGGAAAAACAGCTCTCAGAAACAACCCCCCCCCAGGTAAGAAGGACGTATTGATGTTACCTGGTTATCAATTTTGATCTCTGTCAAGGTTTCGTTTTCTCTCAGTGCCTCTATTAAGGCCAAAATGCCTGTGCCGGTGATGAAGTTGGATTCAACGTTGAGGCTCTTCAGTGTCTGGTTCGCCCTCAGCATGTCCGCAAAAGCCTCGAGAGACAAAAAGAGCGGCAATGAAGTCCACACTAGACTGGATTCACAACCGAAGACACCCATGCTTCCTTACATACTGCATAGCAAAAGAGAGAAGTAGTTGCCCATAAGCGGCACCTCTCAAAGCTAAGACTGAGATAGATGGGACTGTTCTGGTTTGAAAGTTCTTTCTGCCTGGTGTCTTCAAACATTACGTTTATGGAGATTCTCAATCATCCAGCTCATGGTTGTCCCAAAAGCGTTTTTCCCAAAAGACAACTGGATTTTTTTTTTTTTAATTTGATTTATATGCCGCCCTTCTCCAAAGACTCAGGGCGGCTTACAATGTGCTCAGCAATAGCCTTCATCCTTTTGTATATTTATACAAAGTCAGCTTATTGCCCCCACAAACTGGGTCCTCATTTCACCTACCTTAGAAAGGATGAAGGCTGAGTCAACCTTGAGCCTTGGTGAGATTCGAACCCTGCAGTAATTGCAGGCAGCTGGTCTTAATAACCAGCTTAATAACAGGGTGCCTTAGACCACTGTACTACCAAGGCTCTTTTCTTGGGGTTCCACCCCCCCCCTGCTTTCCTTGAAAACATTTTGCTTCTCATCCAAGAAGTTTCTTTACTGTAGTTATGCTGAAGAACAACCGAACTGAAGAAGCTTCTTGGATGAGAAGCAAAATGTTTTCAAGGGATATAAAAAAAACAACAAGAAAATCCAGTTGCCTTTTGGAAAAACACCTCTTGGACTCCAAACATTACCTTGTTTTCCTGAATGGCCCTGCTTTACAAAATTGGCTTGGTGATACGTTACTAACTTGCCTCTAACGTTTAAATATTAGCCTAAAATTAATCAGATGGCTTTGTCCACGCCAATCAAAAGCCACCAGATGCCATAAGACTTTCACATTCGTTAAAAACTCCTCCACTTGTGGGATCTGACCAATGGGAGAAAGCTTAAGGAGATTTGGCCAGCCTCCTCTTCTTAAAGACCAATCTGGCTCATTATAGTATCTTGGATCACATTCTGGGATCTCCTCCTGCCATCGACTCTGATCCATCAGTTACAGTTGATTCCCCAAGGCTGGAAGAAACCAGACAGATGTTGAAAACATCATGTCAACACCCACAACAGTGTTAAGATTAAATAGATGTAAACAACTGTCAGTGGAGTGGGCTGGGTCTCCCTCTCCCAGCTCCAATGATCTCATGTTAAGACACAGTTGCTGAGTGCCAAATTTGGCTCTTCGCTTACAATGGCCACGGGGTCATTGCTCCGAGTGGCTGCAAGGCTGAAGCTCTTCACGTAGGTGTTCGTTTCCAGGGCTTTGGCAAATTCTTTTAGAGTCGGAATGGGGATGTTCTGGAAGTCAAGCAAAAAAGGCAACCTTGTGAATATTGACTCAAACTCTTGTTAGAGTAAAATGTGCTGCTTTCCTTTCTGAATGGTGTGAAGAATCCAGGGGTGGGCTGCTGGGGGTTTGCAGGTGTTTGGGAAGATTCTGTGCAGTTCGGAGAACCCCCAAATCCCACTCCTGGCTGGCCCCTCCCCTCCCAGGAGTCCCCACGTGGCCCGTTTTGGATGCAGGGCGCGTGCAGAGGCTAGGTGAGGGTGAAAAATGGGCCTACGAGGAGATCGGGAAGGCCAGAAATGGGCCTGTTTCCAGCCTCCAGAGGGCCTCCGGAGCCTGGGGAGCCATTTTCGCCCTCCCAGAGGCTCAAAGAAAGCCTCTGGAGCCCAGGGAGGGCAAAAACGCCACCCCCGCCATGGTGCAGGAGGCCGACTAGGCCATGCCCACCATGGCCACACCCACCCAGCAACTGGGCAGAGAACCCCTTGCTAAAATTTGTGAAGCCGACCCCTGGCAGAACCTCTGTATTTACAATTTCTGATATTCTCTTCCAACACACAAAAAGCAGAGGCTCAGGCTAGAGAAAACGGCCCCATTATCATTCTCATCAATTGGAATTCTATCGTTGTGATACTCTCCCCTAAAAGGAATATTTTACTCGTCCTACTCAATTCTTACCTTGATATTGTTCAGGTTTACTTCAAGAAGGCGAGGATCGTTATCTTTAACCCTCTGCAAACTCTCTTCCACATTTGTGGGGTTTGGTGGTTCATCAAAAACCGGGATTACCTTTTCACCTTTAACGACATCTGAATGACGAAAGAAAAAACATGCATTGTAGGCACTGATTATATTTCCGTTATAAGTAAAGTCCCTGCTAAATCAAATCTTCCTTCAACTGATATAGGATGGGACTTTTTAAGTAGTATTTGACTTATTTTTCATGCTCACGCATCACTGCATTACTACCAACTCAGAAAGTGAATAGCAATTTAATAAGTTATTTTAAAAGATGTATATTTCTTTCAGGATAACCAATTTCTAAATCATATCCTGGGGTAGATTGTTAATAGTTAAGTCAACAGGACTTCTCCAAATGTTGTCATCCAACTAATTTTTAAATAGGCAGTACAGGGAAATTATGAAGTTTATGAAGGTATGAAGGATATCTAATTAACTGAAATTTTTATTCAGATTTCATTTAATGGCGACAAATTTAAAGTTAAATATGTTTCTACTTGGAAACTGCTTCTGGACTGTGCTCGTGGTAGAAAAAAATGAAACTTTTATTTTTAAATAGGTTCATTGTTATAGAAATGACTAGTTTATACTATTATGTAAAAGTAAAAAGTTGATGTTGGATGTCATTATCTTATTCTACTGCACCAAAGGGAGTTGGAAGTCAACACCTTTTCTCCCCCCCCCCTTTTCCCTACACGTTCCCCTCCCCTATCTTTCCTACTATTTTCTTTTGTATTTTTGTATTTTATATTATAAATTAATTTTAAAAATCATTTAATCAAGTGTTGATTCTGGGGTATCTCTGTGCATCTCTTTAAGATGGCTCCACCAATGTCTTAGAGCCAAGGTGGATTCATGACTTAAATCACTAGTAAAAAGGCTTGATTTAAATCAACTCGATTTAAATCATAATTTTTAAAGAGCAACTCTCATCTCTGTCCCGCAGCGGCTCCTCCTCTGACCCACTGTTGACCCATCAAGTCCCAATATTGCAGAATATACAGCCTCATGCTATATACCTAAGCTCCATTTCAGGCTGATTAAATTAAATTATGAATATATCTTAAATAGAAAACTATCTTTAGATAGATTTTTACTCCAAAAGCATTTTATTGAAATAAATTGGATAAAAATAAAAAAAATCTGATTTAAATTTGGCCTGACCTAAGTTTTTCCCCTTTTTAAATGGAAATTTTAAATTTGGTTTTAAATTATTGGGGTTTTAAATTTTCAGCCAAATTATTTAATTCGTTTTACTTTATTTTAAATTTTGTATTTATATGTTTTATTCTATGGCTGTTCACTGCCCTGAGTCCTTCGGGAGTAGGGCGGTATATAAATCTAATAAAATGAAAAAATGAAATGACCTAGAAGGTCCCTTCCAACTCTGTTCATCTGTTTAAAAGTGGACACTCACTTGTGAAACTTTCACCGCCGACACCGTTGCTGCTTCCCACAATATCCTGCAACTGAGAGCTACTTATCAAGTTGTGCATTCCCAGGATGGCTGGAATAAAAAAAAAAGAGGGTGGGGGAAGGCATCAGTCACTATTGCGCTTTATCCTTTCACTTCAAACGAGGCACAAAGGGGCAAAACCCACCTTCCCATTTCCCATGATTACTTTTGCTAGCCTCAACGCCCGTGAGAAAGGAGGAAGGAAAGAGAAAAGGGGTGACCAACAGCAAGAGGGACAGATTCAGTCAAGAGCATCTTTGGAAGTCCTGTAGGCCAGGATAGGGATAGATTCAGGGATGGTCTGCTAGGGGTTCACAGGGGTTTGGGATAACCTCTAGCTAAGATTCTGTGCAGTTCGGAGAACCCCCAAATCCCACTCCTGGCTGGCCCCGCCCACCCCTCCCCTCCCAGGAGTCCCCACGTGGCCCGTTTTGGATGCAGGTAAGTGCAGGGTGCAGGCAGAGGCTTGGGGAGAGCGAAAAATGGGCCTACCCGAAGTTCGGGAAGGCCGGCCTCTAGAGGGCCTCCGGAGCCTGGGGAGGCCATTTTCACGCTCCTGGAGGCTCAAGAAAAGCCTCTGGAGCCTGGGGAGGGCAAAAATGCCCCCCCCTCATGGTGCAGGAGGCCGACTAGGCCACGCCCACCCAGCAACCGGACAGAGAACCCCTTGCTAAAATTTTTGAAGCCCACCCCTGGATAGATTGCAGGGAGAAAATCTATGTGGGGACTAAGGATCGATACCAACCTGACAGCACATGATCCCTTAATCAACATGAAGACCTGCCTCTCTTGAAATGTCTAGATTGCTGGGAAAAATGGAAAGAACGAGGGGGAGAAAAAGAATGACCAGCAGCAAGGGAGCTTAGTCACAACAGTGATGAATGCATCGATGGAAGATGGAAGAACCAGGTTAGGGAGAAATCGTCATGGAGAAAGCATAGTTGCTAGGAGTTGGCCACGATTTGAAGGCACATAATCAATCCATATGCACATCAATTTACTGGAAAATAAGGAAACAAATCTCTGCCCCAAGTAGCTTTCAATTTAAAGTTTAATGTGAGGATAAAGCAGAGAAAGGTAAGAGTAGGGGAAGATGATCTGCCCATTCTAATTATACATATTTTGCGCGTAGCTTTGCTAGACAAGGAAAGCTCCATATTTAGCAATAGCATTTAGACTTATATACCGCTTCACAGTGCTTTACAGCCCTCTCTAAGCGGTTTACAGTCAGCATATTGCCCCCAACAATCCGGGTCCTCATTTTACTCCCCACTGGTGACAAGAAAGGCATCCGGCCATGAAAACACTCTGCTAACTCCATTCAGTTGCCCAGACTCCACCCCGCAAGGGATGATGGAGTCGTTAAAGGACGGTGACGATTTGATCTTCGATAAGCAAAACAATCGAGCAACTCCCCCCAACTCCAAACAACCCCTCCCCACCTTAACAAATCCTACAAACCTGCCAGATCACACAGTTCTGTGTCAGTGGCGCTTGTCAATGCCTCCTCCAGTTCTGGTTCAAGAGCCACTTTTTCTTCTACGTAAGACTGTACTGGTTTCTGTTTGGGAATAAAAACTTTTCCTGTTCAAAGGAAGATAAAAAAAACATGCAGGTTAGGACGGCCTCGGCAATTAGCTCAGTACAGGTGACTTGGTACCTCTGTTTGGGACTGCAGAATAGAATCGATCTGGAAGGGACCTTGGAGGTCTTCTAGTCCAGCCCCTGCTCAAGCAGGAGAACCTATACCAGACAAGCATACACTCAGACAAGTGACTGTCCAGTCTCTTCTTAAAGACTTCCAGTGATGGAGTGCCCAGGATTTCTGGAGGCAAGCTGTTCCACTGGTTAACTGTCCTCACTTTTTAAGAAGTTTCTCCTTAATTCCAGGTTGCTTCTCACTTTGATTACTTTCCAACCATTATTTCTTATCCTGCCTTCTGGTGCTTTGGAGAATAATTTGACCCCCTCTCTCTCTTTTTTTTTTTTTTGCTTTAATTTATATGCCGCCCTTCTCCGGAGACTCAGGGCGGCTTACAGTGCGTTAAGCAATAGCCTTCATACTTTTGTATATTTATACAAAGTCAGCTTATTGCCCCCCACAATCTGGGTCCTCATTTTACCTACCTTTGAAAGGATGGAAGGCTGAGTCAACCTTGAGCCTGGTGGGATTTGAACTTGTAGTAATTGCAGGCAGCTGATGTTAATAACAGTGCATTAGTCTTCTTTATGGCAGCCCCTCAAATACTCGAATACTGCTATCGTGTCACTCCTAATTCTTTTTTCTTTAGACTAGCCAGACCCAAAACCTGCAGCCGTTTTTCGTAAGGATTAGTCTCCATGACTGCAGTTCTTATCAGCACCAGGAAATGTTTCTTTTTAGCAGCCAAATACTTTTGAAACTGGATTTTGGATGGAAATTCAAGTCCCACCTTAGCCACTGGGTGACTTTGGGCCAGTCCCTCTCTCTCTCATCCCATTCCACCTAAACACGGTTGTTGTTATGGGGGAAATAGGAGGAGGAAGATGTGTTGGATGTGTTCGCCACTTTGTGTTATTTGTAAAAATAACAAAAAGGCAGGATGCAAATAAAAGAAGAGGTTTAAATTGTAGAAAGGCAGAAATAAATACTTTTAACGGTAAGAATGAGTCAACAATAGAAACAATAGCACAGGGAAATAGCGGGTTCCTATTCACTGAATATATTTGGTCAGATGGACACTTTATTTTAAATGTCTGTCCTGAGCAAGGAGTTGCTCTTCCAACTCTATAATTGTACTATATATAATTATACCACACTCTATAATTATACCACATATACACTTCCCAAAATAAAGTATAAGTATATCTATGTGTGTTTAAACCTTACCTTACTTACTGTACTTCTAAGCATGCTTATACTTATAAAGGTAAAGGTTCCCCTCACACATATGTGCTTCCCGACTCTAGGGGGCGGTGCTCATCTCCGTTTCAAAGCCGAAGAGCCAGCGCTGTCCGAAGACGTCTCCGTGGTCATGTGGCCGGCATGACTAAACGCTAAAGGTACACGGAACGCTCTTACCTTCCCACCAAAGGTGGTCCCTATTTTTCTACTCGCATTTTTTTACGTGCTTTCGAACTGCTAGGTTGGCAGAAGCTGGGACAAGTCACGGGAGCTCACCCCGTTATGTGGCACTAGGGATTCGAACTTCTGAACTGCCGACCTTTCGATCGACAAGCTCAGTGTCTTAGCCACTGAGCCACCGCGTCCCATGCTTATACTTATCGGTTGCCTCTAAGAAGGGGTTTTTTTTTTTTTTCTATGTAGATGTATGTGCTCAAGCATCTGTCTAGGCACATATAGGAAGGCAGAATGTAGATATTTTAAACGATAACAAACTAGGCCAATATAGGAAGCAGAATTGCACAAACAGCTGTGGCCCTCCTTATTTAACTCCCTTCACCATCTGGTTTCTGTTTCTTGTACATTTATTTGCTCATCATCACAAGCTTTGGCCGGCTCTAAACTGGATTATTATTTTTCTTTAAGAGGAAATGTCAGAAAGAAAATTTGCAGCATCTGGAATCTATTTCAGCAACATTGCAATTAATAGAAGCCAGCAGAAGACTGAAAGGTAGGCATTTTCTTGGGTGTATGTGTGTGTGTATGTGTGAAAGAGCCATTGGGCGGCATACAAGTTTCATAAAGGGCTGGTTGAACAAACCATGATTAGGTCAAATGCATCGCATTAATATATCAATTATCAGGGCAGGCTTTTTTACCCCAACACTTCGACCAAGTGAACAAAGTTGTATCAGTCTAGATCAGGGGTTACCAACCTTTCAGACCTCAGGGACCACTAAATTCATAATTTGAAATCCTGTGGACCACTAATATGATCTGCCTAATGACCGGCTGGATGGGCGTGGCTAGGTGGTCATGTGACTGGGTGGGCATGGCCTTGCTCCCCGCCTGGGCTCCTTGGGGCCCCAAAAGGAAGCAGTTGTTGGAGCTAAGCAGCCACCACGAGAAAGAGTTGGCAAAACAGCTCAGTTCAAATTGGATCTGACTGAGAAGGAGGCTCAGTAGAAGCACCTCACTGAGGACTAGGAGCATAGGCTTTCCAAGCAAAGGGAAGACCTGCAGGAGTGCAAGGCCGGATACTGGCACCTGGAGGCTCAGCGGGCTGAGATGGTCAGCCAATTCCAGGCCATGATGCAGTCCCATTGGAACAAGGCCCTCCGGCTCTTTGCCACCAGTGGCACTTCCCTCCAGCCTTCGCCCAAAGCCCCACACCAGGAGGCTGAAGCAGACCCCGAGTCGGAATTTCTGCCCCCCTCCGACCCACACAAAAAGACCCCGAAGGGGGAAGACTCTCTGCAGCAACACAAACGTTCATTGCACGTATCCGTCCCAGGGGCCGTAGTTTGAGGACCCCTGATTTAGTGCAATATTAAAAATGCAAATAATTTTTCTGCGGACCACCAAAATTTTCTCACGGACCACCAGTTGATGACCGCTGATCTAGATCACATCTAAACCTTGCTCCTCTATTGATCAATGTGGGATTGGTATCTTTAGGATGGGAGCCAAACAAGAGTTTAGACTCTTGCAACTGTCTCCGTTGTTTTATTTAAATAAATGAAAACGTCAAGGCTGAAACCTCCAGGCGATTTATTTCACTCGCCTTCCCTTCTTTGTCTGCTCTAAGTGATCTGTAATCCACCTGTTGCTTTGCTAGGAATATGAGAGACTTGGCCAAGGCACAACTGAAGAAATTAAATTTTGGACACACCTCTTGCCCTCCCGCCCCCCCCCCCCCAAAAACCCCCCGTGTTTCTCAATCTCAGCAAATGTAAGATGTGTGGACTTCAACTCCCAGTCCACACCAGAGGTGAAATCCAGCAGGTTCTGGAGAACCGGTACTGGAAATTTTGAGCAGTTCGGAGAACCGGCAAATACTACCTCTGTCTGGCCCCAGGTGTGGGGTGGGAATGGAGACTTTGCAATATCCTTCCCCCAGTAATGGGGAAGGAATGGAGATTTTGCAGTATCCTTCTCCCTGAAGTGGGGAGGGAATGGAGATTTTGTAGTATCCTTCTCCCTGGAGTGGGGTGGGATTGGAGATTTTGCAGTATCCTTACCCCAGGAGTGGGGTGGGAATGGAGATTTTGTAGTATCCTTCTCCCTGGAGTGGGGTGGGATAGGAGATTTTGCAGTATCCTTACCCCAGGAGTGGGGTGGGAATGGAGATTTTGTAGTATCCTTCCCCCAGGAGTGGGGTGGGATTGGAGATTTTGCAATATCCTTCCCCCAGGAGTGGGGTGGGAATGGAGATTTTGCAGTATCCTTCTCCCTGGAGTGGGGTAGAAATGGAGATTTTGTAGTATCCTTCCCCTGGAGTGCGGTGGGATTGGAGATTTTGCAATATCCTTCCCCCTGGAGTGGGGTGGGAATGGAGATTTTGCAGTATCCTTCCCCTGCCACACCCACCAAGCCACACCACGCCCACCAAGCCACGCCCACAGAACCGGTAGTAAAAAAAACATTGGATTTCATCACTGGTCCACACATCTTAAATTTGCTGAGATTTGCTCCTAGAACAAAGCAAGCATTCTTTGTTCTTCCTTCATTAATCAGACTTTCTTGCTTTTCACCTTGACTCCATATGCTGTTATTAGCAATAGGGAACCTTTATTATTTTTAAAAGCAGAATAAAATAGTAAAATATTTTGTCAGCTCCGTTTGGAAGCAGAGACTTGAACATTTAATTTCAAAGTGAAGCAGACACCACAGCTACCCTCATCTGAACCCTAATTTAAACCCAAGTTGGGCTATTGTTCTCTTCCAGATGCATGATTAAACCCCCCACCCCCTTGAGAATGCAATTTAGCTGCTCCCTCTGCAAAATGGGCCATACCTGAAGCATAACTTTTGTTTAATCAAAGCTAACAAGATTCCTCTTGCTTGGACCTCACCTCTGCTTGTCTTTAGAGAAAAGTTAAGATTCCTTTCCAGGTAATGAGCAAATACTTTAAGGGGGAAAAAAAAACCTTAAGCTTATTGTTTACTCACTCCAAGGATTAACAAAAAAAAAAAAAAAAAATCCCTACCCTCTATGGCCTTTGGAAATAATGACTTAACAGTTGGCAGCAGATCAAAAAAACTCGTGCAAATTCTTCCCTCTTGACGCATAAACCCACACAAGCATTGCCCAGAGAGCACATCTGCACAGCCGTTCACACAAACCATGGCCGTCCTGACGAGGATGATTTGGGAATGCTAAACTTATTTACTGAGGAAGCTGCTCAGAGGAACAAGAACCGGTTTTGCTTGGTTTGAAAAACCAGAAAAATACATCAAAAGGCTGACTCCGTGCTTATTGCGTTGACGATTTCTAGAGCGCAACGAATGCCATCAAAGCGATGGAGAAAGAGACATTCAATGTATTAGCATCAGGGAACTCCTCCCTGTGCTAATTAGGATCTGTCAAGTAAATGTTCTGGTTTATTCCGTGTATTATGCTGAACCATAAACCATGCCTTACAAACCTGAATTGGCTGGTTCCATGCGATGCACTAAGCTTGAATCAAACCCAAACAGAAATGAGATAAAATTCAGCAACCATGAGCTGGATTCATGGTTTAGCTAGACCCAGGGTGGATTTGATTTAAATCACAATTTAAATCATGATTTAAATCACTAGTAAAAAGGCTTGATTTAAATCAACTCGATTTAAATCATAATTTTTAAAGAGCAACTGTCATCTCGGCTACTCCTTTGACCCACTGTTGACTCACCGATAGTCCCAGTATTGCAGAATATATAGCCTCCTCATGCGACATAACTAAGCTCCATTTCATGCTGAATAAACTAAATTATTTCTGTATCTTAAATAGAAAACTATCTTATGATAGATTTTTACCCCAAAAGTTTATTAAAATAAATTCGATAAAAATAAAAAAAATCCGATTTAAATAAAAAAAAATCCGATTTAAATCAAAAAAATCTGATTTTTTTGATTTTTTTTAAAAAAAATCATTGATTTTTATCCACCCTGGCTAGACCAGGGGTCGGCAACATTAAACACTCAAAGAGCCACAAAGGTCCTAACCAGAAGCCCCCCATTCAATTCTGGAGCCGACCGGAACTCTGGTTCCATCAACCATAGAGTCTCCTCCTAGTGCGGCATCCTTTTTCCTCTACCTGTCCTAACTGAAAGCCCTATCAATTGTGGAGCTGACCGGAAAACCTGCCCCTTGCCATAGAGTCTCTTCCTGGTGCGCCGTGATTCCCTCCCCCCCCCAACCAGAAGTTCCTCTCAAAATTGTGGTGCCGACCGGTGACAGGAAGCCGCAGCAGAGGGATGAAAGAGCCACATGCGGCTCCAGAGCCACAGGTTGCTGACCCCTGAGCTAGACTTTCAGATTGAGGCCATTGTAATCAGAAGTGGGTTTCACATAATTTTACCATTGGTTCGCCGTGCACTGAAAATGTGAGTGAGCTTTGCACGCACGCCTTCCGCACACGCATGTGCGTCTTCCATGCATGCGCTTTGCGCTCTTGCGCGACTTGCACACATGCACGTGGCTTGGGAAACATGGCTAAATAGGACGGCATAGCGCCAGGGTTGCCACTACCAGTTTTCCCGAACCGGCTGAATACCACTGATTGTAATATTCTACTCTACTAGCGAATAGCGGAGATAAGAATCTGACAGTTCTCTATGATCACTTCCGGCCCATATGTCTACTGATTGAGAACAGGAAGATGAGTTTAAATCTTCTGCAAGGCAGTAGGTTTTATTTTATATTTATTTTATTAACATGCACATATAGCATGTCATATTCGTTTTTTTTAAAAAAAAAATATTTATTGAATTTTCAAACGTTAAAATACACAGTACAAAAAACAGAAAAGAGCAAAAAATAGAAAACTAACACACAACAAAAACAAACACATCAAAACTTAAACACTAGTAACAGCTTTTCTACATCGGTATCTCTATCCTAATTAACTTCCATACACAAATTCTACTATCTATCACTATCTTTACTTACATCCTTATCTTAATTTATAACAACTTCTATTCACAATTCGGTTTCGTGACAAAATACAAAATACCATTTTAGATTTACTCTCCAGCCAGGAATACCATCTATTCCAAATTAAATAGTACTCGGTGTCTTCCCTTTCCTTAATTTCCATGGATAATCTGTCCATTTCTGCGCATTCGTATATTTTTTTAATTATAATTTGGTCAGGAGGAGATATCCGGTTGTTTCCAATTTTGTGCTATGACAATCCTACTTGCAGTTAGTATATGTAGTATGATATATTGTAATTTTTTTTCCATTTTCCCTTCCAAAATACCCAGGAGGAATAATTCCGGTTTTCTTTCTATCTCCCACCCAGTTATCTCTTTCAGCCATTTTTTTTATCTTCCACCAAAATTTCCTAATCTTAGGGCAGGTCCACCACTTGTGGTAGAATGTCCCTTGGTTAAGGCCGCACCTCCAGCCATATTCGTTTTATTAGCACACCCGTATAAAGCTTTATAACATTCCTAGAATATTTTCTCTTTGAGAAAGATCCCAAGCCCTGAGCTAAAAGACAATAAAGGAGGTTCACAAACAGAGATCAACCCTTATACAAACACACACACACACACAGAGGATGACAATTCAACATGGTGGCATCCAGCAGCACTGTCCTGATGTGTTTGACTGCCCAAGGAATCATGGGAGTTGGAACTCCAACACTTCTGGACATACCAGGGTGGAGATAGGTGATCTCAAGGTTAGTTCACAAGGGATTGGCTGGAGTTGAAGGTATATTTGGGATACCTGGAACCGCTAAGCTAATTTCAACAGCACCAGACACTGATCCACGTCCGTTCTAGGTGAGTCTGGCCACACCCTTAATGAGAAGCAATTACGCAAGGCAGGTCCGTCATCAATCATCATCCCAAGCCAAGTCAAATCTCTGTGTAGCTTCGGAAGTGATGAAGCTGCTTCAGACCAGTGGCATCCTAAGTCAACCAGCGGCATCCTAAGTGACATCCTAAGTCAACTGTTAGATAGGACCTAAGTCCTATCTAACTGTTGCACTATTAGAGGAACGTGGGAAGCTGAATTCTGTGTCTCATCAGACATGGTCCATCCAAGCTAGTATTAGCAACACGGACCAAGGTTGCCTGATTGGGCTCTCAGGCCAGTTTTTCCCCCCATACCCTACCCCATCTGAGAACTCCGCGACCTCTTAGCCACAAAGCTGCCCTTGTCGGCTCAGTGAAAATTTACATCATAAATGCCATCTCGTGAAAGGAAACTCTGTTGCATCAGCTCCCTTCGCAGGCTACAAGGGCTCATTGTTCCTTTCACCCAAACTGGAACAAGAGGAGAAGACGGTCAAGCCACTGTGAAAATCCATGGTGGATTTAAAAATAATAATATTAAATTATTAATAACATAATAATGTGATATTTTACAAAGATGGGGTTCTGGCCCACTTTCTTTTTAAACTGCTGTGCATGCTTTCTGTTATCACACAACCCTTGCTTGGAGCCTACGGGGCCTACTCCCTAGCACAGCGTTGCCGAACCTTTTCGGCACCAAGTGCCGAAACGGGAGCGCGCGGGCCTATGGGGGAGTGACTGAGACCGGAAGAGCAGCTCCCCAGCGCGTATGATCACCTGGTCTTTTGAATGCATGCACGGACGAAGACCAGCTAGCTGGCGCATCTGTGCATGCTGGAAACCAGAAGCTCAGCTTCCCAGCTCACACATGCACACCAGGGGAGCTGCTCTTCCAGTTTCCGGCACTCCCGCGTGCGCAAAGAAGAGCAACAGGCGACGGAACCCGGAAGAGCAACGGGCGACGGCTGGCGTGCCCGGAGAGATGGCTTTGCGTGCCACTTCCAGCACGCGTGCCACAGGTTCGCCATCACGGCCCTCAAGGGATTTCCTCTCAGGGAGTCTCTCTCAGCCCAGCCTACTTCACAGGGCTGTTGTTCAGGAATAAACTGGAGATGGAAGGGTCCTGCCCAGAACTCACAGAGCGAAGGCAAGAGAGATGAGACACCAAATATGCATTCATACTTTGTACAAAGTCCAAAGTTTGTTGTAATAAGATGGGTGGTAAAATAGTAAAATAAAATATCAGATAAAATATCAAATAATATAAAATAAAAATAATACAAGTAGAAAAAATACAAATACAAATGATAAAATAAGATTCTGGGGGAACTCAGACCCTCCGTGGCTTATTAATTATGGGGTCACGTCCAGCTGATGGTGGCTTCATAGTTCAGCCCGATACAGGCAGTCCTTGGCTTACCATCACTTGTTTAGCGGCCGTTCAAAGTTACAATGTTGCTGAAAAAAGTGACTAGTCCTCGCACTTATGACCATCACAGCATTCCCCACAGTCATGTGCTCAGAATTTGGGAGCTTGGCAACTTGCACGCATTTACAATGGTTGTAGCATTCTGGGACGGCCTGATTGCCATTTGTGACTTTCCCAGTTGGCTCCTGACAAGCAAACTCAATTTGGGGACCCTGGATTCACTTAATGGCCACGACTCACTTAACAACCATGCTGATTCACTTAACGACCGCAGCAATAAAAGTTGTAAAATCAATGTGTGACTCATTTTAACAACTGCCTCAGTTAGCAGCAGAGCTTCCAGTTATGGCCATTAAGTTGAGGACTGCCTGTGTATGACTCAAGCCTGTGAGTTGGGGGGCAGAGAGAAAAGAAGCAGAGCTTGGACAAGCCAAGTTGCTCAATGGAGGCTCCAACTGGTCCAGAATGTAGCCGCGCAGGTGATTATGGGCGCAGCTCGTTACGCCCATATAACACCTCTCCTACGTGAGCTGCACTGGCTCCCAGTGGTCTTCCGGGTGCGATTCAAGGTGTTAGTCATCACCTTTAAAGCGCTCCATGGCTTAGGACCTGGGTACCTACGAGACCGTCTTTTGACACCAGTTCGTTCTCACAGGGAGGGATTACTCAGGGTACCGTCAGTCAAATTATGCCGACTGGCGACTCCCAGGGGGAGGGCCTTCTCTGTGGGGGCTCCAACCCTTTGGAATGAACTGCCCCCGGAGATACGGAATATCCCTGATCTCCGTGCTTTCCGCCGTGCCCTCAAGACCCTGATGTTCCAACAGGCAGGGCTAAACATACGAACATGTGAATGATTTTTTTTAAATGTTATCTAATTTTAGGTTCTATTGAATTGGGCCAAACTATGTTATAATAATAATTTTAATTAGCAATTCTATGATGTTTGTGTATCTATATTTTTCTTGACTGTACACCGCCTTGAGTCCTACGGGAGAAAGGCGGTATAGAAATATAATAAATAAATAAATAAATGGAAGCCATTACCTTTCTTTTCTCCCGTGTAAGGCACAACCTCCTCGACGTCTTTCTGCTCCAGGGCTTGTTGCTCCAAAAACGAGAGAAGCTTTTCTCGGTCAAAAGGCCCGCCGGGTTTTTTCAAAGTCTGGTCCTTCTGCCGGAACCCCGCTGGCAACAGGGCATTCTGTGAAACGAAAGGAAGAAGCGAATAGCAATAGCACTTAAGAGTTCTCTAAGCGGTTCACAGAGTCAGCCTCTTGCCCCCAACAATTTGGGTCCTCACTTTACCCACCTCGCAAAGATGGAAGGCTGAGTCAACCTTGAGCCTGGTGAGGCTTGAACTCCTGACTGTGGGCAGAGTTAGCCTGCAAAACTGCATTCTAGCCACTAGGAAGGGAGGGAGGGAGGGTACTATCAATAGCACTTGGACTTATATACTGCTTTACAGAAGAAATAGAAATAATAGAAATAGAACAGAAACAGAAACAGAAACAGAAACAGAAACAGAATAGAATAGAATAGAATAGAATAGAATAGAATAGAATAGAATAGAATAGAACAGAACAGAATAGGTTCTCCTTAGTTCTAGGTTGCAGAAACAGAAACAGAAACAGAAACAGAAACAGAAACAGAATAGAATAGAATAGAATAGAATAGAATAGAATAGAATAGAATAGAATAGAATAGAATAGAATAGAATAGAATAGAACAGAATAGGTTCTCCTTAGTTCTAGGTTGCAGAAACAGAAACAGAAACAGAAACAGAATAGAATAGAATAGAATAGAATAGGTTCTCCTTAGTTCTAGGTTGCAGAAACAGAAACAGAAACAGAAACTGAATAGAATAGAATAGAAGTAGAAATAGAAATAATAGAAATAGAATTAGAATTAGAATTAGAATTAGAACAGAACAGAACAGAACAGAACAGAACAGAATAGGTTCTCCTTAGTTCTAGGTTGCTTCTCTCCTTGACTAGCTTCCATCCATTGCTTCTTGTCCTGCCTTCAGGCGCTTTGGAAATGCTAACCAAATTTTGGGATTATATGTACACACCTCTGGATCAAGGTCATCCAGGACAGTTTCCAGTTGCTTCAATTCTTCTTCGGTCAACTTGCCCAAAATTTCATCTTCATCAAGTTCCCTGTATTTGTCCAAGTCTTTCCGGAAAGGGAGCGCCATCACTCTGGCAGACCAACGTCGAGTAGCTTGATCAACTAACAGCAAGACCAAAGTCTTAGCTTTGGGTTTTTTAACTGGAAGGACAGAAAGGGTGGGAAAAAATGTACTCATTTGGCAAAGTTCCACGAATGAATGAAATTCACACGAGCGACTCATCTGAGGATGCAGGAGAAATTATCTACAACTCCTTTATCGCAGTTATGCTGATGGCTAAGCATGCCTCCAAAAACTTAAGATGATACACAACAATCTCCCCTAGAGAGGTGCAGTTGTCATCACTCAGACAGGTAAGGTGCTCAGCATTATTAACGTACTTCTCGACAACTTTTAAGATGTGACGACTTCAACTCCCAGAATTCCCCAGTCAGCCACGGAGGAGATGATGTTGGTCAGCCAGCCCAAAATGTTCTCTTGCTAAAAAGCACACGTCTCCTATCAACCTTCTCCAACCTGGCTCTCTCCCAATATTCAATTGTACTTCCTGTTATGTTAGCCAGGGATTATGTAGAGTTTCAGACAGGGAAATGGATGGCGTATAGCATAGGCAGCCAAGTCCTTGGCTCCAAAAATCCAGTCAACATCGTAATCAACTCTGTAAGTACTTCAGGAGTAATATCCTGAAGTACGCCTGGCGCTTTTCAGGGCAGCACAAAACACTTCAGGTGCTGTGGGCACCTTGGTGCATTCTGAACTGAGTTGTTTTCTTGCAGATGTTTCATTACCCAACTAGGTAACATCATCAGTGCTAGAAGGGAATGGGTGTTTGGTCTTATTTTTTTTTATATACTATTGGTTTGCCAATAGCGAGAGCTTGCCAACAAGCTTGCCTTCAGAAGTTATGAGAGCTTCATCACGGGAAGCTTTCAAGAAGAGACTGGACTGCCATCTGTCAGAAATGGTGTAGGGTCTCCTGCTTGGACAGGGGGTTGGACTAGATGACCTACAAGGTCCCTTCCAACTCTGTAAATCTGCCTAGTCAGTGTTGGTGGAAGTGTTCTTGTTCTTGTTAGTTTGCTCATCTCTGTTGGTACCAAAACACCTACGCACCAGCAATCAACACATATATAAGCAAAGATTAATAATGAAGATTAACACTAGACCAGGGGTCCCCAAACTTGGCAGCTTTAAGACTTGTGGACCAGTTGTAGTCCACAAGTCTTAAAGCTGCCAAGTTTGAAGACCTCTGCACTGACTAGACCAACAACTCGGAAATAAACAAAACCTCAATCAAGGAACTACCAATGCAATAGCCCTTCAGCTCTGGCTGGACGTTGGGGAGCTGAAGAAGCTCCTCGGATGAGAAGCGAAACGCCTTCAAAGAAAAACCAGAAAGTCCAGCTGCCTCTTGAAAAAGCCTCTATGGGACAACCATGAACCTGGATGACCGAGAATCTCCCCAGACATTTACCAATGCAACATCATGGTTTTAAAAAAATGAAGCACCCTGATCTTCCACGGTGAGCCCGCCAGACTTCCTAGTCCTTGCCCACAAGTGTTTTTCTCCTCTTCCTGAACCTCCTTTTCAGCTCAAAGCCAGTATCTCAAAAAAAAGTGGCTTCCTGTGGATAATAAGCATGGCACCACCATTAGCTGCCAAGCTGTGCCGTCTCTGTGCCAAGCCCCACACTGTGTGCGTTTCCCTCCCCTCGAGCGCCAGCGCATCTGTTTAGAATCACAGAACATCAGAGTGCTAGTGGGCGGGTGTGCCCCATGGGAAAGACCTGTCAACAATGGGTCGGACACACACAAGAACAATTCTGTTCTCTTCGACGATCAAGGGATGCCAGCGGGTGTTTAGTCTTAAGCCAGTCTAAAGAAAACTCTCAGTTATATCTGGAACTGGCTCAGCGAGCAAAATTGTTACTCGTGGGCAAATTCAGCACCTCTGATTGGTTCCACACAATGAGGCTTTGGAAGTTCTCCAGAAGAAGATCTGGCAACTACTGCCCTGCCACAAATCTCAGCCGTGCCAGTCCCTCCGCTCCCTTCCTTCCCCTGTGTTCCCCCCTCCTCCTCTTTTGGGGGGTACTACAGGCGGGCTGGTTTTGTGGAGTTCCACGCCATGCTGAGCCACAACCACCTACAAACGAGTCAGGGCATGTTTCGCTTTGCAAATTCTCCTGGATAAAATTGTTTGGAAATAATTCCGTTTCTAAGCCAGACTCCGTAAGCCTAACTTCTAAATCAGGGGTGTCAAACTCAAGGCCCCAAGGGGGGGGGAAACCCAAGCTCCGTTTTCGCTGGCAGTGGGTTGCAGAAGGTCGTTGCAGCCGAAAACAGGGCTCGCGAGGGCTGTGGGTGGCACTCCCGAGCTCCGTTTTCACTTGCAGAGGGTTCCAGGAAGTCGTCGCAGCCAAAAACGGAGCTCGGGAACCTGTTTTTGCTAGCAGAGCGGTTGGGCCACCACAGGTGCCGACACGAGTGACATCAAGCTGGCCACGCCACCTGGCCACACCTCCCCAAGGTCAAACACCACCCTGATGCAGCCCTCAATGAAATAGAGTTTGACACCCATGTTCTAGATAAATAGGTATCGATCCAGCCTGGCTACCATCTTAGATTCTTCTGTTTCTCCACACTGGGTTGATAATAACCACCAGATGAATTTGTGTTGGGAGTACTGCAGGCTGACTTTAGGCCAAATTAGCCTGGCCTAACGATAAATAGAACATCTGACAGTACATCTGGTTGATCTCGCAAAAGGATAAGCGGGAGCAGATTGACTAGTATATAGTGTTTCTCAACCTTGTAGACTTCAACTCCCAAAATTCCCCCATCCTTGGACGACATTAGGAATTGCTAGGATTGGGGAATTAAAACCCAAAACCAAAGGCATCCACCAAGGTGGCCGTGGCAAACCATGTCCATGTTTTGCCAAGAAAACACGGAAGTCTCACTTTTAGAAATCAAATTACATGAAGGCGGCCAATGGAAAAAGATTCCATTCTGGAGCTATGTGGCTTGCTTTTCTGACTATTACGCTTTGCCTGCTTTTGATCTGCTGCTTTAGGCTCTCAGTATCCCCTGTAAGGGATACTGGGACGTGGTGACTCAGTGGCTAAGACGCTGAGCTTGTTGATCGAAAGGTCAGCAGTTAAGCGGTTCAAATCCCTAGTACTGCCTAACGGGGTGAACTCCCGTGACTTGTCCCAGCTTCTGCCAACCTACCAGTTCAAAAGCGCGTAAAAAATGCAAGTAGAAAAATAGGGAGCACTTTGGTGGGAAGGTAACGGCGTTCCGTGCACCTTTGGTGTTTACTCATGCCGGCCACATGACCATGGAGACGTCTTCAGACAGCGCTGGCTCTTTGGCTTTGAAACGGAGATGAGCACCGCCCCCTAGAGTCGGGAACGACTAGCACGTATGTGCGAGGGGAACATTTACCTTTACCTTTATCCCCTGAAAAATGGGTGCAAAGTTTTCTACAATTCTACTCTGACTGGCAAAGATTCTTCAAACTCTTTAGGCAAATTCCTGGCAATAAAAATCAATATTTTAATCCCTCATCTCCACAGTGGACATTATCGTCAGGTGATGGATGAAGGCAGCAACGCCAACCTTCCCGATTTAAAATCTAAACAAACACATTAGCAAAATGCAAAAATGCACGTATCCAGGACCCTTTGACCTGGAGTGTTCTCAAATCCTGGAGGAGGTTATCGAGAGAGAGAGAGAGAGAGAGAGAGAGAGAGAGAGAGAGAGAGAGAGGCACATTGCAATCTTTGAGTGTTGTTTTTTCCCCCAGTCCAAATACCTTTAAAGAGGAAGGTTGAACTTTAAGTCGACTAAAGGTCCCGTTACTTGTTTTTTTAAAAACAGAAGATGACCTCAGGGGGAAAATAAATGGGGGGGGGCTAATTTGGGCCAGCATGCTACAAATTGTACACTTTATCATGGTTTCTAGCAACACATCTTCTGCTAATCAGCTTCGGCATGAACCTTCGCTAAAGAAAGTTTTCCACCATCAATCAAAGACCTGAAACTGGGCCAGTAGTTCAGGAAGTCAAATCTGGGAGGTTTTGTTTTTTATTTCTCCCTAAACTCTTACAATGGTAGAAGAGTTAACGCTTCACTTCTGCACTGTGCATGATCCAGCAAAGTTCTCTGCATGGTTAGTACCATTAAATTCATTAACGTGGGAATGCAACAAAATATTGTAATGTGGAAGGTTCTGATCCCTTTATAACAGGCTTCATTGCTGCCTTCCCTAGCCAGCCCCGAAACCTGTGAGCAGCCGTGGAAACCTGTTCCACAGGTATCTGAATTGTCACTTCAAGTTTGACTTTCTACCCTATGCCTAAGGCAGCCCCGTTTTGATGAACAAAGCGTTTGTAGTATTGCCTTTCTGCTTTAAACAGGTTTTGTGAGTGATCCTGCTATATTTCTTGTTTAAGGGATTGATATAGCCAGAGAAAACTTCCAAAGGGGACAAGACTCTAGGGCAGTGGTGGCAAACCTTTTACTAACTGAGTGCCGAACAGGTACATGCTTCGTGCGCACATGTGCTACTCGCGCGGCTCCTCTGTGCGCTACACACACAACTGCACCATCTGTGCATTTGCATGGCTTTTGCATGCGCCCCCGTGTGCTGCATGTGCAACCACACTGTCCGCACATGCATGTGGCTTTTACACGGCTGCCCCGTGCGCTGCGTGCACATTTGCACCATCTGCGTAGTTTTTGCAAGCGCAATGCGCATGTGCAAACATCATCTACGCATGTGCGCACTGCAAGTAAGTAACTGTGTGCGCATACACAGGAGAGCTCCGAAGACCAGCTGGGTCCTCTGAATTGCACGCATGCGCACCGGAGGCCCAAACACCAGCTGCGTGGTGCTTTGGCTGCACAGCTTTGAGTTGGGCGACAGCTCGCGTGCCCGGAAAGATGGCTCTAAGTGCCACCTTGGGAAGACGTGCATAGGTTTGCCATCACGGTTCTAGGGTCATTCTTGGCTTTTTAGTTGAAATCAACTAGCAAGCCAGAATGCTGCATAACCTGAATGTTATTTTGGAGGGGAAAGTGTTTTGAAATCACAGAATAATCCTGCCGCCTTGCAGAATTCTGCCACTTGGGAATATTAACCATCGTTTCATACGGGTCTCCTCGGATAAGTGATTTGAGACTCTTTCCAAGTTTCGGTCCATGATTATCCCCTTGTCTGAATTCAGAATAAGCCAACATTACTGAGTAAAGCACACCCCCAAATAGTTCCTTCCTGCTAGCTTGCCAATTTGGCTCAGTTATCGCCTCCGCGACTTGACAGAGAGCCTCATATCCAGATTTTTGATATTGTGCAATTGTTCTTTGCAGGACACGGATTGGAAAGCATGAATGAAGTTGAGAAATGGCTGCCTGTTCCAAAAGATCACTGCTTCACCTCAATCATCCTAACAGCAAAATATAAGTGGGATTGTCTTTCCAGATTTTTTTGGGACAGACAATCCCATTTATATTTTACCCTGAAACACTCTTCGCCTCTTTCTTTCCTTCCATACATAATATCTTGTTCACAGGGAAATAGCTCGGCATAAATAGAAACGCCAGCAACTGATAGCTAATTTTGATATAAGAAATACCAGGCACACCTTATTCATAATATCCCTCTGAAACAAGAGAGATGAAAAAAAGGAGCCAGCATTAAGCACAGTAATGATGAAGATTTAAAAAGTTAACCATTATATTCTCCCAATCCCTCCTTAGGAACTCTGCGTCATTAGGGACACCCACACCAGAAAACTAACTGAGCAGGATGTCCCAGTTAATTATGAAAATGTTTTGAATAGGTCTAGATTTCCCAAGCAAACACAGCCCAGTGCACCAAGGGAGGCCTGTTATTTAAGTGTCATTTCTGGATGGAAACAGACCTTTCAAATGCTCTTATTTCCGGTTTCCACTTAGCTGTACTCTCAGCCCCGGAAATGCCTTTCTGTTAAAGTAACAGAACCACATTTACCTTTTATTAGCAACATAGATTTGGATTGCACATTCTTTAATCCCAGAACTTTTATGAAAGCACACCCTCTCGGGTATTTTTTATTTGTTTTTTTTTTTAGTCTGAAGGGATAGCATCTGAAATCGAGGCACGATTGCACAAATTTAAAAAAGAGCGGATATCTGAATTCTACCTTAGGCTTCCTTTCCCCTTGGTTAAAATTTTAGTAATTCAATAACTTTGGACATTCTTTCGTTCAGCTAGAAGCTGTGGGCAATCAAAGAGATGTTGGTGGTCTGTCTCCAGAGCCAATTTGTTACGAGAAAACTTCTGAGATTAAGTAGTTTATTTATTATTTATTTATTAGTTCAATTTATATGCCGCCCTTCTCTGGAGACTCAGGGCGGCTTACAATGTGTTAAGCAATAGCCTTCATACTTTTGTATATGCCTGCTTAGTAGGGCTTTCGCCCTCCTCCCAAGCGGTGTTCTTTTTTTTATATATACAAAGTCAGTTTATTGCCCCCACAATCCTTGTCCTCATTTTTCCTACCTCGAAAGGATGGAAGGCTGAGTCAACCTTGAGCCTGGTGACATTCGAACTTGCAGTAATTGCAGGCAGCTGGTGTCACTTAACAGCACTTTAGTCTGCTGCGCCACCAAGGCTCCAAAGTTCCTAGATTTAGGATGTGGCTTACCTTAAAAGTTAAGATGTCAGCTATCAAGGTCAACAACCGAGCAGGTAGGAAAGCTCAAATACTAATAGCACCCAATTCAACCGCAGGATTTGAAACCTGCTCTTTATTTTTTTAAAAGGTTTGTATGGATGCCCATTCTTAAACAACTCTGGATGACTCATGCTGCTCTTCCCATTTCTAATTTACTACACCACACTAGCCTCCATATCCCAGTTTTTCAACACATCCCACTTTTTCATATTTTGGGAGTTTTGTTTTTAATTCTACGTTCTTTGTTTTCTGCTTACCCCTGGAAAAAGAATCAGACATTGCAACAAAGTTTGCCCTAAACACAAACTAACAGGCTCGCAAGCAATTTTTAGAGACATTCCTGATTTAATATAGTGACATATAGCATGTAAGGGATGCAGTGGCTCAGTGGCTAAGACGCTGAGCTTGTCGATCGAAAGGTCGGCAGTTCAGCGGTTCAGATCCCTAGTGCTGTGTAACAGGGTGAGCTCCCGTTACTTGTCTCAGCTTCTGCCAACCTAGCAGATCGAAAGCAGGTAAAAAATGCAAGTAGAAAAATAGGAACCACCTTTGGTGGGAAGGGAACAGCGTTCCATGCGCCTTTGGTGTTGTGTCATGCCGGCCACATGACCACGGAGACGTCACCGGACAGCGCTGGCTCTTTGGCTTTGAAACGGAGATGAGCAGCGCCCCCCTAGAGTCGGGAATGACTAGCACATATATGCTAGGGGAGCCTTTACCTTTACCTATAGCAGAGCGATTAAACCCTGCATCCAGGTTTTCCAAAATGAGAAGAGTTTGAGGACTGTTCTATATCAACAGTTGCGCCAAATAAAGTTTGCTAACAGGTAAGTTTTAGCATCTGAACGTCACCGAAGAAACAGTTGTCGGAGTGTTCAAAACACCTAAAAGGAGCATCAGTGGCTCTCTTTTTTCCCATCCTGATCTCAGTCTTGAAGGCTAGGATCAGCGCTTCTGGATATCCCAATACTGCAATCTTTTCCAAAGCTCTCAAGTTTATCCTGTTCTTGGTGCTGGTTTGTTGAACCTCTAAGCATACAAGCAGGGACAAGAACATGGGGAAGGAGCTAAGCCTGGCTGGAGACATTTGTTGCCTGAGGCAAAGGACATAATAGCAGCCTTTTCTATTCCATGTATTAAAAACTAGCAGCTTTCTCTAATGTTGGCACACGTCCCTCACCACACCTTAAAAGAAAAAACTGCAGGGAGAGCTGTAGGCATGAAGTCCTCTACCTCCTCACTGCTCTGTTATTCTGCTTTATGGGTAAAAAGCCAGTCTAATTTCTCTTCGGTTCCTTCTGGGCCATGATGCAAACCGGATTCATAAGCCTACTTTTGCAAGGGGATCCACCGCCAGCATCTTTACCTGAGAATGCACCCTCCCCTCCTCGCCCAAACTGAAACCAGGCAGAGCAAAAGGCAGGCAAGATGACAGAAGAAAGGCTGCACTTCAAACCGCCTCAGCAAGAAACAATTCCTCCCAAAATCCTAAATGAACAGATCTGTGGGTCACACCCTTTCTTCCTTGAAACAATACACCGGGCAGACTTTTGTCTTCTTCTGCAGGGATTAAGAAACTGGGCTCAGACAGTTGATTGGAATAATCCCAGGAAAAAGATGAAGTACGAAGAGGGGGGTGGGGTGGGGCTCTACAATAATTGGACTACAAATGCCTGGCCAGCTAGGATGAGAACAGACCATGCCAAACATTTCCAGGCCAGGCATTACATAGGGAAAGGCTGCACAGCTTATTGTAGTACAGTACTATCCGCGCTGGCAGCTAGGATCATCTTTCCCAGTCTGAGCTGAAACTTTTGGGGAGGCAAAATTAAGGGTTGTTGTACCGCTGAGCTACCTTAACATTTTTTTTTCATGCCTCCCCTCCTTTTACAAAAAGGTAAAAAAAACCTGCTTTTCTTCGGTCCAACAAGGGCAGGAAGAAAAAGCAGGCACCCAAAACAATAGAAGGCCATGCAAAGGAGAGAAAAAGAAAACCCCACAGGGAATGACTAGGGTGTAAGGAAGATCATCAATCCCTGCGTGATCTAATCCTTGCAACTCCAGAGCGTTTTAAAGGAAAACTTAGGCTTCCCAGCTTGGCTGGAAGTGACTAATATCGATTCTAAAGGTCGGGCTGCCAAGTCCATCAGGAAGGGTCAAAAAGCAACTAACCCGCAGCTCGTGACCCAGGTTTTTAGGCTGGGCTTGTCTCGGGAGGGGGGGAAGAAAAGCTGAGCTTGAATTGGGGGGGATGGCAGAAAAGGGGAAATGCCCCACAATTGAGGGGGGGGGGGGGGGGGGGAGAGAATAGGTTTGTTCCCAATGAGCAGGGCGGGGCAGGGAGGTCCCTGGGTGTGGAAGGCTACCACGTCTCCCGAGCAAGAGCAGAGAAAGACAACTGGATGGAAGGATCGGGGCTCCTGCCGCGCCCCAACCTTCCTTCTCTTCCCCCCCCCACCCCCATCCACAAAATCCCACCCAGCAGCCTCCCCTGGGGAGACAAGAGAAGCGCCGGCTCTGCCCCCCAGTTGGACTCCCCAGCCCATCCTCCTTGGCTGCACGAGCTGACGGCGCGCGATCGGAGCCCGGGGTCCCAGCGACCCGGAGGGCGCCAGGTTGCAGAAGGCAATCCCGACCCATTTCCCCGCCTTTCTAAGGCAAAAAAGTCTGCCTTCGCCGCCCTCCCTCCCGTTTCCTGAAACTTTGGAGAAGCAGGCAAGACAAATTTGTCCCCCCCCAACTCCACCCCCCTTTTTTTGCCTCATTTGAGGGCCCCCCCCCTACCCCCCCCCCCCAATCGTGGCTCCGGAGCCCCCGCCGGACTCACCCAGCCGGAGAAGTCCCAGCCTCGAAGAGTTGTAAAAACTACAAGAGCTGTTTCCGCCCGGCTACTGCGCCTGCGCGCCCTCGCTTTTGAGTACACGATAGCTCGGAGGCGGCGAATGGCTTCATGGGAGCTGTAGTCCGCCATTGATCTTCGCCTGTAGTCCGTTTAACCCGGGCGGGATGGAGAGAGAGAGAGAGAGAGAGACGGGGGATCCTCCGATCGCGGCTTTTTCTTGTTTTTAGTTAGTGACTAAAGCTTTTTTTTTTTAATTTGATTTATATGCCGCCCTTCTCCGGAGACTCGGGGCGGCTTACAATGCGTTAAGCAATAGCCTTCATACTTTTGTATATTTATACAAAGTCAGCTTATTGCCCCCACAATCCAGGTCCTCATTTTACCTACCTTAGAAAGGATGGAAGGCTGAGTCAACCTTGAGCCTGGTGAGATTCGAACCTGCAGAAATTGCAGGCAGCTGGTGTTACTTAACAGTGCCTTTATCTGCAGAGCCCGTAGCAGGGCTGACCTAGAATGAGGGGAGCTGTAGTCCCAATCTATCTGTGGAGGCCACCGGTTTGGGAAAATCAGTTGGACAATATTGTCTGCATTACTATTAATCTTCTCATCGTTCCTATCACCCATCTCCTCCCACTTATGACTGTAACCTTGTTGCTGGTATCCTTACGATTTATACTGACTGTTTCCCTGTGACTGTCATTAAGTGTTGTACCTTATGATTCTTGACGAATGTATCTTTTCCTTTATGTACACCAAGAACGTATGCACCAAGACAAATTCCTTGTGTGTCCAATCACACTTGGCCAATAAAGAATTTATTCTATTCTATTCTGTTAAATTCGTTATATTCTTGTGATGCTGCAAACAAAAATCAGATTCACACCGTGGAAATAGCATTTGCGTTTTCCTTTCAACCATTGACTTGTAACTGGTAATGACAAGCTGACTTCACGCCTGCACCACCCCAACCCCCTTCGTGCCGCAGGCAGGCTTCATCAACTGTGAGAGGGATCTTGGAGTCTTAGTAGACAACCAATTAAATATGAGTCAACAGTGTGCAGCGGCAGCCAAAAAAGCCAATGCAATCCTAAATTGCATTAACAGAGGGATACAATCAAGATCAAGTGAGGTAATAATACCACTCTATAAAGCCTTAGTAAGACCACATCTAGAGTACTGCTTCCACTATAAAAAAGATGTTGAGACTAGAAAAAGTGCAGAGAAGAGCAACCAAGGTGATGAGGGGACTGGAGGCCAAAACATACGATGAACGGTTGCAGGAACTGGGCACGGCTAATCTAGTGAAGAGAAGGACCAGGGGAGACAGGATAACAGTCTTCCAATATTTGAGGGGCTGCCACAGAGAGGAGGGGGTCAAGCTATTCTCCAAAGCACCTGAAGGCCAGACAAGGAATACTGGATGGAAACTGAACAAGGAGAGATTCAACCTGGAAATAAGGAGGAATTTTCTGACAGTGAGAGCAATCAACCCATGGAACAAAAGTTGCCTTCGGAAGTTGTGGGAGCTTCATCATTTGAGACTTTCAAGAAGAGACTGGACTGCCATCTGTCAGAAATGGTGTAGGTCTCCTGCTTGGGCGGGAGGTTGGACTAGATGACTTACAAGGTCCCTTCCAACTCTGTTAATCTGTAGGTAAACTCATATACCCCAGAGATAAGCTTGGTTACTTTCAGTCTTCCTCGTCTAGCCCCCTTGACTAGCACTGATGATGTTACCTAGTTTGGGTCATGAAACGCCTGCAAGAAAACAAGCAAGGTCAGAGAGCACCAAGGACCCTTCATTTCAACCCTGAGCTACAAATATTCTCCCTTATTGGCGTCTTTGTCATCATTCGCTGTTTGCAGTTTAGCATGTTGTGCAAACTTGGCTTGCAGCTCGTTCAGAGTTTATGGTCCCATGTATTGTGTGAATTCCAAAAATGGGTTCAGTAACCAGGCAACCCTCATTGAAAAGAAAAAAAAGGGGGGGGGGAGAGAAACATCAACCTGGCTCTCATCTACCTGTAAATAAATCTCAGTAGTTTGATCCCTACATTGCCCTTCAATTGTTATTTACAATCCACAGTGGCTCGATTTATACAAAAACATTAAGTCAAAGCCCAGTGTGAAAGACATAGCTCTCCGAGAGCTTGGGGGGGGGGCATGCATTAAGCATCTCTGCAATTTTTCTGCCACTGAGCAGCTCGGACAGTGTCATGATTGTGTGAGTTTCACTTGAGAATGAGAGTGAGCAGGGTGAGAACTCCTGGCACGCTGCCTATGGCGTGAGTGAAGGGGGACCTTTGTGTGCTCAGAGGACGGCTGCCATTGTGTAGCAGTCCATTAGAATTCAGTAAGGCTCCTTAATGGGCCAATATTTTCAGCCGAGGCTCCAACAGAGCTGAAAATAAACAGGTCCTTCCCCAGAGGGAAAAGCTCGGCTTCTGGAAGAACGGAAGAAAGAAATTCAAAGGCTTCAGCAAGCCTTGGGAAAATGCAGACTTTTAAAAGCATTTGTGAGCTCATCTCTGTTCTAATGAGAAATGGGAACTGTTTGGGATACTCCAAGAAGGCCAAATTAAATGTTTTCATGGGAAATCTATGCGGTGTGCATGCTATGTACTATAGCACAGGGCTGGGCTGCTGGGGGTTCGCAGGGGTTCGGGAGAACCTCTAGCAAAGATTCTGTGCAGTTCGGAGAACCCACAAATCCCACTCCTGGCTGGCCCGCCCACCCCACCCCTCCCAGGAGTTCCCCACGCAGCCAGTTTTGGATGCAGGTAAGTGCAGGGCGCGTGCAGAGGCTCAGGGAGGGTGAAAAACAGGCCTACCAGAAACTCCAGAGGGCCTCCGGAGCCTGGGGAGGCCGTTTTCACCCTCCCGGAGGCAGGACAAAAGCCTCCGGAGCCCAGGGAGGGCAAAAATGTTCCCCCTGCTGTGATGCAGGAGGCCGACTAGGCCACGCCCACCATGGCCACGCCCACCCAGCAACCCGGCAGAGAACCCCTTGCTAAAATTTTTGAAGCCCACCCCTGCTATAGCACATGGGATCGGCAACAAATGATGCAGGTTGTGAATGCTGCAGGATGTGAAATGCTCAGGATTAGACCAATGCATGGAGCATATCCTAACTATAGATCTACAGTAAAGTAGACAGTAAATATTTGGTTATTGATCACAAATGGGGGGTCGGTCCTGGAAAGCACATGACTCACTACAGAAAATAAAGACGTGTCTTCCTCTGGCTTGATTCACGCAGCTGTCTGCAGGTAAAATTGATTTTAGAAAGGAGTTTCTTTTACTGTTAGCTATAAAATTCCATCTTAAAATGATTTCCATCCAGGAAGGAGACAGGAATAAATCAATTGCTGGAACAGGCACACAGACTCATTTATCAGGCATAATGTTTGAGAAATGAGCCCCTCCTCTTTCGACGAGCAATCACAGAAACACGGTGGGAATTCAAACGTTGCACTAAAGTACGGATTCCTTAAAACATGATGGTAGCTTCTTTATTTAGACAGACAGGGAGCTGTGCATAGGTGCTATTTAGTCAGCAGGAACCCAGAGCTCTGAACTGAATGTATTTCAAGGTTCAAAGTGGACCAGTGGAGCTCAATTAAACCTAGCCTTTGATGACTGTGCGGTTTTGCAGAGGGGACAGAAATAAGAGGAGCATCTTAGCATTTATCTTAGATGACGTATTGCAGAATGCATCTTATAATTAGCTTATTTATAATGTTCTAAAAAGGCACCCTCTGTTTAATTAAATAAACGCATGGCTCATTATACTTCAATGATAGTGGAAGATCTTGCTTGATGTTTACTGGACTGGTTTTATGTATGATTATAGTTCCGGAAACAGAAAGCAGTTAAGAGCTGGTCTTATCTTTGATCTGTCCAAAATGCCTTTGAATGTTGCTGTCCTGCTAGACTGGGAAAGATTGCCATATGCATTTAAGAGATTGTTTCAAGGAATAGACAGAGGAGGTGACAGTTGGCTTCCTTCTGTGATTCGGATTGTTAGTAATAGACTTAGTTAAACATACATTCTAACTATCTGGTGTAGTGCTCTAAAATCAAAGTAGCCCATGCCAACTGGGGAACAGGAATTTGTCACCATCTGCACAGCTCTTGTGTGCTTTAGATGGTACTGTATTAGTAAAAACAAAGTATAAAATCTCCCTTGAATTGAGCTTAACTCCTGGTGGCTGGGGTTACATTCCTGTTGCTTTTAGAAATAGTTTGCCATTGTTTGGGGGGGGGGTGTTTTCATTTTTTTCAGGATGACAGTTATGGGATTTCCCAAGTACTAACCAGTTCCAACTCAAATCAGTTTTTTAGAGAACGGTCAAAGTCAGCTAAATGTTGCTTTTTCATTTCACATGTTAGAAAGCCTACTCCACTGTGTTAACCAATGCTCTTGTATGTTCTGCTCAACCCTTGTCCTGAACATAATCCTGCCATGCTTATGCGTGTGATTGATGAGCCTTGCACAAACTTCAGAATTCTGTTGACTGTGAGACGTACAAAAATGCTTTTGGGGAAAAACTGTTTTTGCGCATCGGTTAATCTTTAATCCAACAGAGGCTAAGACCTGTCATCTTTTTTCTCCTGGAGGTATGAAAGCCTGGTCCAATGAAACTTTTGGTGAGCATTCTATTTTATGGACTAGCTCTGGGGAAGCCCAGGGGCTAATAGCAAAATTTGTTTATTGTAATATAACTGCAGTTTTGCTGTGCAACCTTCAGTCTACATTATTGTTGTAATGATTTAATTTTAATCATGCATCTCCATCTTCCTTTAGGTTCAGACCTAGAATCTATTTTCTGTGCCAAGTGAGGGTTGGGATAGGCATCTGAAGATGTGTGAGATGCCTGTTTACTCTTTTATTGCCTTTAAGGCTTTTGTATTACAGTAAAAGCTTTTATTGATGGGTGTTTCATTTCATCAGATTCATACACTGTTACTCAGTGCAGAGTTTTATGCTGTACTATTGTGAGTTCAGAAAGAAAGAAAGAAAGAAAGAGAGAGAGAGAGAGAGAGAGAGAGAGAGAGAAAGAAAGAAAGAAAGAAAGAAAGAAAGAAAGAAAGAAAGAAAAAAAGAAAGAAAGAAAGAAAGAAAGCCATGAGATCAGAGCCAAATAAAAAAAGCTGTAGACCAGGTCCATTCAAAGGACTAAATCGCAGTTTCTTTAACAATAATCTGTGAACCCATTATAGGCAGACGAATTTGTGTAACACCCAAAACAAAAACCATACAAGTCACATTATAAAAGAAGTATGAATACGCAGATTCTCATTGTTGTATTAAAGGTTAAATGTGTAACGGAAACTGACCAGGCATCAATTACTATTAATTGTAGTCAAGTAATTTAAGATTAACAAAGAAGACTTCTAAAGTCAATAGGAATGGATTGGTAAAGTAAGAACATTTTCACTTTAGCTACTTGAAAGCAATAGGATCTTTACAGAATCTAGTTTCATGACACAGGTAAAGCTGGGCAAAAGTATTGCTTGAATGTTCCTTCTAATTAAGGAAACCTGACATGTTTTCATTCTAATTGATAAGGAATAACTGCAAAGGGAAAGGTAATATTTTTCCTGAGTGGCCCCATCTTCCTCCCTTGACCTATTTTCTGCAATCTGTCATATATAAATCATTGCTTCTGAGTTTGCCCTGGGGATGTTCCCTTGGTGCAAACTCAGCTGTAGTCATTACTTCAGGATTTAGCTGCCTCCCGGGGGCTCTCTAAATTAAATCTCAGTCTGAGGAATGGGGATGATGGATCTCATTTGCATATGACCATAACACCATATAATTCTTGCATGCCAAATACACTAACCCCTCCATTATCAGGAACGTAGGTGTCAGAGTTCACCCTCCAGATCAAGAGCCAACATGTTCTTAGAAAATAATGATGTTCTTGCACCGTTTTATTTTTGTTGCGATTCTGTCTACTTGTAATGTTTATTATAAAACATTAAATAAAAGAAAGATGTTAGTGGGACGGCTAATTAGAAAAACAGAAAGAATAGCAGTTCATTAGACTGGTGTTTCTTAAGCTTTGTACCTTAAGTTCCACCAATCGGTCTATCAAAGAACTTGTATCCCATCACAATAGATAGAGAAAGCCTAGGGGACTTTTTCTGGGGATATTTATTGTATTTGCAAGCACTGTTTATCATTTATACTAAGTTTTAGGGACTTAAATGTTCATGACTCACCACCTAACTGCTTCAGAATGTTATCTGTGATAGGCACATCGCCAATTGAGAAACAATGGTGAATTTCAACTTGACACTCTCATTTAACTTTCAAAGCCCTGGTAATTTTGTCTAGTAGTTAGGCATCAGGTTGGAAACTGGGAGACCATGTCCTCCTTAGGCATGAAAGTCAATTGGGTAACCTTGGGCCAGTCACTTTCCCTCAGCCCAACTCACTTCACAGGATGGTTGTTGTGGGATAGGAGGAAGAAGATGGGTTGAGTTCACTGCCTTTGAGTTATAAAATAATGGAAGATAAGGCAAATAAAACCAATAGTAATAAAAAAAAGACAAAAGAGGGTAGGGAAACGGTGTGTGCCAGGATGAAATACTTGGATGAAAGGCATTTTAACTCCTGAACTCAATATTTATTTGGGGAGAAAGGGGACAAAGGATTATATTTTAGAAGACCAGGGTTTTGGTTTTTTTTCGTAATGCACTTTCAAATCCAGTAAGCTGAGATTTACTCAGTTAAATTTAACTTTAAAGTTAAAGTTACCTGAGATAACAGACTTCAGAGGATAATTAAAACTGCAGAAAAAACAATTACTACCAACCTGCTTTCCATCGAGGACCTGTATACTGCATGAGTCAAAAAGAGGGCTGTGAAAATATTTACAGACCCCTCACATCCTGGACATAAACTCTTTCAACTCCTACCCTCAAAACGACGCTATAGAGCACTGCACACCAGAACAACTAGACACAAGGACAGTTTTTTCCCCAACGCCATCACGCTGCTAAACAAATAATTCCCTCAACACTGTCAAGCTATTCATTAAGTCTGCATTACCATTAATCTTCTCATCGTTCCTATCACCCATCTCCTCCCACTTATGACTGTATGACTGTAACCTTATCCTTAAGTGTATGACTGTTTCCCTATGACTATCATTAAGTGTTGTACCTTATGATTCTTGACGAATGTATCTTTTATGTACACAGAGAGCGTATGCACCAAGATAAATGCCTTGTGTGTCCAATTATACTTGGCCAATAAAGAATTCTATTCTATTCTATTCTATTCTATTCTATTCTATTCTATTCTATT